TGCAGATGTGGCTAAAAGTTAACAAGAGATGCTGAAAAAAGAATTCATTTGCACCAAATTTTTTACCAGTTTTTATTCTTGAAAAAAGACTTTTTTTTTTGAGAAAACTGATCAAAACCAGTCAATTTTCGCATATTTATTAGGCTTCATTTGTACCTTTTGTACAGTAAAGAACAGTAAATTTTTTTGCCAAGATTCTGAAGCAGCAGCAGTAAGCAGTGCTGGAAAATTTACTGTTTATCTGCTGTTTTTAACAGTACGTTGAAATGCTCATAAAATGCTGTTGGAATTAATGAACTATTAATTGGCTTTTTCAGTAAAGCATTTCTTTGATTTACCTATAATAATAAACTTTTGTGTAACGCCCTATGATAACGATATATGCACTTCGTCGTTTCTCAGTGTTTTGTAGAATAAATAAACAGTAGAGAATCATTTTCTGCGATTAGGTTCTGTAAGTGGTTTCTATTCTCTTACCGTCTAAATAGAATATTTATTGTCTTGTAAAGCAATAAAGTAATATAATGTTGTTAATTTATACGCTCTCAACAGCTACAGTTACTGTACAGCTGACTTTCCACATTCTTATTTTTAGAACAACTTTTGATTTAGCAAAAAGCAGTTGTACAAGAACTTTTAGCTCTTTATAATATGTTTTGTCTTATATAAGTTTGTCATTATGCCTCACTAAAACCGTATTGTCATGCGAACTTTAAAAAGCTTTGAAAAGAGTTGATATTTGCTAGTTTTCAGGCTTCTAAATGGTGATCGTTGCTATTACCCTAATAACATTATTCCAACCTAGCCTCGCGTATAAAATCTTAGTATACAACCCACAAATTGGTCATAGCCATGTCAGTTTTATGAATCAGATTGCTGACACATTGGCTGAAGCTGGACACGACGTCGTAAGAATCAACTTTTTGGCTTTCAAAGACAATTGTATGAAGCACTCAGTTGTGAACTTAAACAGCATTTCAGCTAGTATACTTACCAGCGATTAACAAAGATGTGAATAACACTGATACTAAATTGGCTAGAACTTTAATTCGTCCCCTAGACTTTCCAAGTGAATTCCACAAAAATCGGTCCAGATACTGGAATCAGAGAGAAAATTCAATAGTCGATATCTGGAAGGTAAATTCTCATGCTTTCGCACAGTGACAACAGTAACAATAATGATGATAATAATGACAGTGATAATAATAATAATAATAATAATAATAATAATAACATTTTATTCCTAAATTTTTTTAGCATTTTCTTACAAATTAGTAAACCAAGAAACTTTCAGCTATTTCTCAGATTCGGACTTCCGTTACGACAACTCTGCAAAAGTAAGCTAACAAGTCAACAAGTTTTTAAATAATATAATTTTTTCGTTCAAACATTGCTTCTTACCTTAACTAATTGTTTTTAAATGTTTCTTTTTTTAGGACAACTAGCAGACCAAAACCTGCTTAAAAAATTAAGAAATGAAAAATTTGACGTTGCCATTGGTGAAACAATGGATCGGTGCTTTTATTTGCTCGTCAGAGCTCTCGATATTCCTGTTCATTTGTCGGCTTTTGCGACACCGATACTAGAAGGAAACATTATTCCTTTCGGAATCCCAAACCCTCCAAGTTATGTTCCAGGTAACTCATATGTTGACAGAAAGTACTTACAGCCATTTCACTTGCAAATGGGGATTAAGAAGGAGAGAAATTTGTTTCATCGATTGTTTACAAGTCAAAAATAATACAAAACAAACGCGCCTAACCATATGAAACCTTAAAAATATCTTAGGATGCATTACTTGGCTCAGTGATGAAATGACTTACGCTGAGCGGATTATCAATTTCTCCTTCTACATGTTTATGAAGCTCATGTTTTACAAATCTCTCAGTTTCTACGAAGCTATTGCATTAGAAAATTTGAACAAGAAAGTCGATTTGAGGGTATACTTTAAAATTTTGCAGGCTGCTTTAATAAAAAGATTTTGTTACCAAAAAACAACTGTACAAATCTCCCTAGTCTATTCTCATAGCTGTATAATGCCAGTACTGTGCTTTCTGTAATATGTCCACCTGAGCAGCAGTTTTCTCATAGTCTAGAATTAACTTTTGGGTGAGGGCTTACATGAAAAAATTTTGCCATCACTTTGGAACTTTTACAATTCCAGAGGAAGCAAAACGAGTATTAATTTAGGAAACAATGGCGCAGACTGCTTTTGTTTTTGTTAACAATGTTGAGTTTATCGAATTCCCACGACCAATCACCAGTAAAGTTCTCTACATTGGCGGTATTGGAGTCGAAGAACCCAATCCTCTTCCTAAGGTTAAAATTTCTTTGGCCACAAGTCCAGAGCTTTAGACGCAGAACAGATAGTATATTTGAATTTTTAAATTAATTAGCGTTCTCTACTTTCATGGTTGCTTTTTAATGCAGCAAATTTTGTACTTCTTTCAAACAATCTATTGATTACACACTAATTTTTAGGAACTGAAGAGACTTATGGATGGACTTGAAAACGGTGCTGTATTGGTATCCTTTGGAACGCTCGCTCGTAGTTCTGAAATGCCAAAGGGCGTCAAAAACGCTGTGCTAGAAGCATTCAGAGTGTTGAAAAATGTTTCTTTTTCAAGTATTCAAAAATTTCTATTCCAATTCGGAAACGTGTGGCGAATGAATGTATTTATTGAAAAAATTGTTTTTATTTCACTTTTTGTTTGTTTTCTTTACCATTACAGTGCAGAACATTTTAGGTAACATTTTTATGGAAATATGAAGACGACGGTAATGATACCCTTAATCTGCAAAATGTTATCGCAAAAAAATGGTATCCTCAAAGTGACCTTCTCGGTATTACTCAAGCGTGCAGTTTTCTTCAGAAATTTTCATTTATCTGATCAATTTTTACATATGTATTTATTTTTTGCTTTACTTTTACTTGACTTTTTTTTAGACATTTTAATTATCTGGGATTTTAGGGCATCCCAACCTGAAGGGCTTTTTATCACATTGCGGTTTGAATAGTGTCATGGAAAGCACCCACAGGGGAGTGCCTATTGTATGCGTACCATTGTTCGCTGATCAAGGACGTAATAGTAAAATGGTTGAGAAGAGGAAAGTTGGCGTGATGCTAAACAAGGAATTGATCTCTGGGAAAATGCTTATTAATGCACTTGAAAGAATACTCTATGATACAAAGTAAGATTATTATTTGATCCTATTTAGAAGTTTGTATCTAATTTCTCTTTATTTCTGAATTTTAATTTCGTTTTTTTCTCTACAAGTTTTTATAACACTTTCATAAAGTAAGTGATTCACACTGTAAAAAGTGCTGACATATGCCTTTAATCTGCAGCATTCGGAAGTCGGCTAAACGTCTGGCATCACTTCTTGAAAAGAGACCTTTCTCACCAAAGAAGATGGTCACCAAATATGTTGAGTTTGCTGCAGAATTTGGGCAAACCGATCACCTTTCATTAGCTAGCGAAAAGCTAAATTTTTTCCAACTATATTCACTTGATATCATCATTCCCTTTTCTCTTATATTTCTTCTATTTCTTTACTTAGCATTTTGCATATTTTTATTTACGGTAAAAAAGCTTACTAGTTTTGTTAAAATCAAGAAAGAATAACTTTATCTTATGTTGGAATGCTCAAATTTCCTATGGAACAACGACTTTATTCTACTGTGATGTTTTCTTCTTAGTAAGAGCACTCAGGTTAAGTTTCCTCGGATGCTCTTAAAGCATATAAATTTTGAGGCGAACAGAAAGAGCTAGAATATAAAAATAGTGATTGTGAACTGAAGACCCAAAGAAAACTGTGATAATATTGATAAAAAGTTGAATGGAATTTAATAAATTTGTTTTATTTATCAGCATTCGTGTTACTGCTCTACTGTGATTTGGAAATTTATCAGCAAACCTGTCAACACTTTCGACAATCTGATCTATTCACTTAAAAATGACAGATTCTTAACGATAGAATATTAAAAAACAAAAAGATGCTAAAAGTTTAGAGTATATAAAATATTTGGTAACATATTAGAAAGCAGAACATGTTGTATAAGTGAAGTTAAACAATAAATGAAGTAAAAATTATCTATTCAGAAAACCATAGAAAAATTTTAAAAATACTGAGGTTGCTGAAATCATAACCTTTTAGCAGACTTAATTTGGCAGACTTAATTTGGCAGCTGCAATATTAACAAATTTGCTAATTCAACAGCTATTGCTGGTTAATTTGATATGCAAAATAAGTGCAATTTACTGTTCTGCATGGTATTTTAACAGTAATTTTTTAGTTAATATATATCATGTGCATTTCGCTATAACATATACTGCAATTTAGATGATAGCAAAAAGGTGGGACAAGTAAAAATACATAAAACAACAATTCAAAAATGACAGATAAGATAACATT